CGGAATATTAAATTATACGCATTTTTTCTTGCATTTTATTTAAACTTATTAGATTCAATTAAACCTACTTCGACGACAGCGCATAAACCGAAGTAGAATAAATGCATTCTTTAAAATTCACTTTGTTTACCATAGCGACACTCTGGCGCTAGGTTTACTTAACAGTATTATATTTCATTCATATTATAACTCAGAATGCACAAAATGTATATCATTTAAAGAATTATCTAATCGTTGCCCCATGTTCTATTCAAATACCACAATAAAGCTAGAACTATGTATAAAAGAAATTAAGCAAACAAAACAAAACAGAAACAGTTTTTCACAGAGTAATTCTCATTTAATTAATTCAGTTCTCACTTCGCGAGAAGGCAAAAATACATAAAAACTCGAAATATCTATATTAAAAATTACGAAGTAAATCTCAAACGCTTATTTCCTCGAAAAAATTTCAGAAAGAATTAAGCATGATTTAATTGGCAATAATAAATGAACGGCGTTATCTTTGTTGTTGTTGCGAAGCTAAGTTTCTCTAGATTGGCAACAAATCCACTAGTCTCCTGTTTCAAATGTAAACATCAATGGCCGCCATTAAAAACAGGCTTAGCGGTAATTAAACAACTTTAAAATTGCTGATAATTCTAAAAATATTGCACACAGATTTACTAAAGGCATAAAATCCTTAACCGGAAGATAAAAACAACATAATTCAATCATTTTTAAAGCAAAAAATGTACAATTTACAAACATATAAGAGTAAAGAAACTGAGATCACTGAGCCGGGTAATAGAGTGGATATATATATAAATATATTTATATACGTTTGGCGCTGCCGATTGCAAAAAAAATACGAGGTGCACATCTACATGTTATGGCAATCCTATATACAAAATTTCAACGTTCTGAGGCTACTCGTTTTTGAGTTATGCGAGATACGTACGTACGTACATACGTTTCGTACAGACGCCACGAAAAATTCTCTTCAGAATTAATTTTAAAGCAGTTTTATAATTTTTTTGAAGGAAAAGAGTATTTTATTCTGTCCTTACGTACAGATATCGCGCAAAAACATCGTTAAATTGCATTCGATAGCGGTCAAAATGGATATTTTCGTTGAAATATGCTGCCTGAAACTTTTCGCGATTACAATACTTCCTTTTTACTTCGTACTAGGAAGTAAAAATGCAGGATATGCATGAATGTATACATGTTTCTCGCACTGCAAACACTCAACGGTACCAAGAGCCATCAAATTCCGAATAACGTAGTCCTCCTCCCGAACCCTTACAAGCCCGAATATTGAATTTCGAATTTATTTTATTATCTGTTTCATATTTTGGTAAGCTTTAACGCAATTTTGATTAACAAACTCAACAATTTCAAAGAGAGCAATGGCAACACTTAACGGTAAATACATTGTTATCTCCAGCGCGTGAGACTGTCTATTGGAAGTTTTAAAAATTTTTTTTTTCAAATATTTTGTGATTTTGCCGTTGAAACAAGTTTAATGTGACGTAAGCGCCAACAACGTGATATTTTATGAATAATAAACGCACAAAATATTAATAATATAAAGACAAAAAATAATTTTGTAAAGCCATCTTAGTAAGAATACTGAACATTGATACGATGAATTGAGAAAAGTCTGAAAAAAAAAGACAGAAAAATGAATGCCAACATTCATGCTTACTTTGGGAATTCTAAACGACTACTGCGATGCTGCTTTTAAAATTTTTATTATTTTGCTGTTGAATTATATATCGCGTAAGTGGGAAAAATATGGTGCTTGATAATAAAGTTAGAGCCCACCAGCGGCTGAGCGATAAAAAGCCGTTTAAAAGTGGTAGTTTTGTGCAGGGTTCCAGTCCCGGTGAACGGGTTGGCTGCACGGGCCTTTTCGCGGTTTTCTCCATATGTAAGGTGGATATGAACTACTTTCCCTTAAAAAGACCTCCATAAGGTATCTCTCTCTTTCCGTGTAGCGCCTAAGGGCGTAGCACGTAAAAGGTTAAAAAAAAATCTAAAAAGACGAAAAAGAATAGATTAGTAAGAGTGAGTGTAACAGCAGACTGGGTAGACTCAAACAGAGCGTAAAAACCTTGACAAAGCCTTTTGGACGACCGTTAATATCTGAAACCTTTCAGATTTTTTTAGATACATGAAAATAAGTATGCATAATCCTACTCCTTTTGTCTTCCTACAAAACACATAACAGAAATAAAATGAGTGTAAATTCCAATGATACATTTCATTATGCAAATAACAAAAAATACACATTATCGTCAATACAGATAAAAATATCTTAACCATTTAGTTATTTATTAAAAGCAAAATTTCCAAAAATCTGTTTAGAAGATCATCTATAATTTGTCTATAGCTATATCTATTTATAACTCAGTTTGAGGATTGCTGTTTTAAACGTTGATGTGTTAAGAGAAGGTTGTTTTTTAATAATGCGCTAATACAATAACAAATGGTTATATTTAATTCTCAGTGCTTTCTTCCCTAAAACATTTTATAAAATTCAGTAATATCCATGCTTCATTGCTAATTTATCGCGAAGACATGGCTCTTAATAGTTCTACCCCAACATAACACGCATTACTGAGAGTTTAATTCTCTTTTTGCGTATTTCCTTGCTTCAGTGAATATCGAAACATTTTAAAAATTCATGGAGAAATTAAATCAGATTTACTGAAATATACGTCTGTTTAAGCATTTAAAGTATGTAAGAATGTTTTATACAATATTAAATTCTTAAATTTAATAAAAGTGTTAAGAGACCTATATATACAAAATAACAACGAAACAGAAAAAAAGCTCAACAAAGAAAAATAAAACTCAGCAAAGAAAAGTAAAGAAAATTAATTTTGTCAAAGTGTATTTAGAAGTAAAATATTAGATGTATTAGCAATGAAATTAAATACTTGGAATAAATCTGCATGACCATTCCTGCTAAATAAAGCAGTAATTCCCATTAGCGAAATCAAATAATTTTGGTTTAATGCCAAATACGGCATAAGAACAGTATACACAAAACACAGTTGCATGAAGAAAACAAAGTAAAGTATTTTAACAAATTGGGGTACTGCTTCTTCTTTGGTTTCTTCTTTCCCATTAAGACAATGCTGTATTTATGCACATTTTCTTATGCTTGGCATTTGCTGTTGCATACTATTTTAAATAAACATGTTGCCGCTGAAAATTTTTACATTTACACAAAAAAATAATAATTGTTTATTATAAAAAAAGAATTGAAATAAAACTGAACGGTATCAGATTTTAATAGTCGTCTAAAAGGTTTTGTTAAGGTTTTTTACGCTCTCGCTGAGCTCGCAGTCTACCAGTCTGCTGCTACATTCCTTCCTTCTAAGGCACTTCTTTTGTCCTTTTAGCTTTATTACGAGTTAAGCATGATTTTCTTCTCATTTACGCCATATAAAATTCAACAACAAAACGTTTAAAGCTTACGTTTAAAGCAACGTAAGGATTATTCTTCTAGAATTCCCGATGCGGCGTTCCTAGTTTCTCCCAGTTCATCATATGAATGGTCAGTTTTCTTTCTAAGATAGCTTTACAAATTTTTTATTGTCTTTTTATTATTAATGTTTTGCGCCTTTACTTTATTTATTAAATCTTATGTTCTTAGCCCTTACGCCACATAAAATTCGGTTCAACAGCAAAATCACAATATAATAATATTGTGATATAATATTTAAAAACAGCATATCTTCAGAATTTTCGACAGAGAGTCTCACGCGCAGGAGATAAAGTGTTTTATTTTGTGCAGTGTCACCACTACTCGCTTTGAAATCGCTTAATCTATTAATTAAAAATTCGTTAAACTTTTACAATATATGAAATATATATTAAAACAAATTCAAAATTCGAGGTTCTAGTTGCCTTTGTTCCGGTAGAGGACTATGTTATTCAAAACTGGATGGCTCTAGGCACCGTTTTTTTTCACACAGCCATACATTCATGCAGATTCTTCATTATTTGATTTCTTTAAATATGATAGAAGGCGATAATATTTTATGGCAAAAATCCGAAAAGTGATACAACACATTTAAGTGTTTCCACGCAAAATGCTTTTTGGAGACTAATTTCTCATTCGTGACTAACGTCCCTTTTGAGCTAAGAATTAATTTTTTGCAAAGTTTCGGTTAGAAGTAAAATGATAATTGCATTAGCAAAGAATTAAATACTTTGAAGAAATGTACATGGCTATTTCTTCTTAAACACTCATCCGCATTAGCCGAATCAAATAATTATGGCTTAATGTAAATTACAGCATAAGTACAGCCTATGTAAAACTCAATAATTGCATGAAATAAACAATGCAATGTATTTTACCAAACTTAGGTACTGTTTCTTAGTTTGGTTTCTCTTTTCCTTTTCTAAAATGATGCTGTATTTTTATATATTTGGTCATATTTTGCATTTGCTGTTACAATACTTTAAATTAAACATGTTGTCCCTGGAAATGTTTTCATCTATTCCAAATAGGGAAAAATTGTCTATTATAAAGTAGTTCTAACTATCACTATAGTTTCTTTCATTAATATCAACATATAATGATACAGGTGTATGAATTTAAAACATTTTAGAAATTTCTGTATGCTCGTGTAACAATTGTTCAAAATATTGACTAAGCTTCCTGCGAGTTTCCAAAATATTAAATTTTACATTTTACATCTCAGTTTCCTGACATCTTGTACAATGTTTTACTAATATAACTTGACTTCCTTCATTGAAAATTATGAAAATCGAAATTGAAAACAAGTTTCTGAAAGTGTATGTTGTAAATTTTAATCCCGTCTTCGGCTCAGGGGAAAAGCGGGCACTTTTCAGCAGAAGTTAAATTTTGAATTTAATGCTTAAATGCAGAAATTTTATTTCGATGCAGATAGTTTATTCCCGTAGTTGAAGAATGTCAAATAGGATTAAAGTTTCGATTTCGTGTAAGAAATAATTTATCAATTTATTTTATTTTGCAGAACTGTATGCCGTGAGAAGCTGTGATGACAATGGAATATGGACTGGAAATATCACCAACTACACACTTTGCGTTCCGAATATAGAGGTCAGTTCTTTTATGCTAGCATTTACAATTTTTAATTTATTTCTGCTGTTTGCCATTAACTGTTATTAAGATTAGTGTTGTATTCTTAAACTCTTTCTGGAGAATGACGTAAATGAGTTTGCGGAGAATCACACAAAGATAAGAAATTCTTGTATGCGGTCCTCTACAAATCTTAGTCTTTGAGCTGTTGCGAGGTTGATCTACAAAAGTTAGTTCAAGAGTAGTAACGTGTTTAACAGCGCCTCCACTTGACATTGCAAGAGTCTTAAATTCACAATCAGTGTCAAGGGGTGCTACCGATCTGCATTGTGTAGCTCATCCAGGAGCCTCGAATGCCAGAATCAGTGACTCTTCAAGTCCTCTGATATCATTTTCGACTATAATGAATCAGAGGTAATAAATACAACCTAAAAATTACGATTCATTAGAGTTTCGTCTTCTTTAGTAGCATAAACTAGAACTTTAAGACCTAAAGTGGCTTACCACTATATCTTTGAAATTACAATAGAAATGTACGAAGGGTATAAAAGGCACTTTTATTTAACTGAAATAAAAGTTTAACAGAAGGCATTGCTCGTGCTTACAGAACAGCCATCATTTATATGGCTTAAATCAAAAGAATTTTCAATTATGACATTAATTATGACTAAATTCTGACTGGCTTAAATGAAAAGAATTTTCAATTATGACTAAGTTAACTTAAGTTAGCCGAAAGGATACACAGACACAAAATGTGCAAGACGATCCTGACCTCGATTCGGCGTGTCAATCCTAATGGCGAGAATAACGCAACGTTGCAAAATACTGCTGTCAAGAGAATCAATTAGAACGTGGCCTTCAGCATGTGGATCATATTCTGACTCTACCATTCAAGTCTTCCTTTAAATACTTTCTCCTTTCTACTCCATTAGAATACATGCATACTTGAAATTTGCATTCTGGCAGAAAATTGGAAAGTGAGGAAAACAATAAAGCAAATTAACATAAAATAACTGGTTAGTGAAACTAAATAAATCCTTTCGTTGTCATAATTAGCCCAGAGGGCGTTACCCAAAAGGCTCGTTTGACTTTTTTTGTTTTGGCATTTTGCGTCGAAAACTTTAATTGTCCTTTTCACTTTTCAAGTTGTAGCAACTAAATATTATCGCCTTGTGTTATATTTAAAGAAATTACATATTGAAGGATCTGCATAAATTTCTCGCATTGTGATAAAACAACAGTACCTAGAGGCATCGAAATTTAAGTAACATAAGCCTCCACCGAATAGGGACACCTGAAAGCCCTAATTTGAAATTTGTTGTATTGTAAATTTCATACTTTGCAACACTTTAACGAATTTTTGATTAACAAACCCAAGGATTTCAAAGCGAGGAATGGCAACACTGTACGAAAAAAAAAATATTTTTATCTCCAGCGCGCGAGACTGCGTATCAGAAATTCTAAAGATACTGTTTAAGACAGAGCAAGATATCAGAACTCTCGACTAGAGAGACTCTTGCTTCTAACAACATCCTAACATATTAAGGAAAATAACTTTACTTATGGATAATTATTTTTATGTCTTCAGTACTAACTGTCAATGGTGTATTGTTAACAAAGCTTCTGGTAGATTTTATTTTTAGCTCTATATGCAGTAAGTAATACGCAACCTAAACAACCGCAACCAGTCAGTTGCAATCCTTACATTTTATCCGTACATGTTACTATCACCCCAAGTTTAAAGGTAGATGCTTTTACGATACAAAGCTAAACTCCTGTAGAATTGTCTCTAAATCATTGCTACAGAATGAATCTCTTTACCTCTGATATTAGATAGGTTCTTTTTAACGCTTTCCATTTATCAACAGTACAGCTGGTGCCTTCAAATGGAAAGTAACGAGAAGCTACGTACAGAAGGTTTTGAGATTTTATTTGTAAATTAAAAACGTTTTTTTATTGTCATAAATAATTACTTTACATCAAATGAATAAATAGTGCCATGTTCTTACTCCAGAATTACTCTTTAAGTTACTATTACGGGAAGACACTCTCTAAGCTACTATTATATCTCGCATGAAACTGAGACTATACAGTGCGAACAAATCGTTTGATCATGTCAAACAGACAAAACGATGTGGACAACCAGTTATGGCACAATTTGCATTTTAATCTGTAAATCTTCTTACTGTAAGATTCTTCCTTCTTATTGTTCTACGTCATCTGAGAAAGCAGCAGTAAATTTGATTTTTGAGTTTGACTTTGCTTTGTGAGCATAACCTAGCTTCAAACTCCTAACAAACGGGAAGCGAATTATCATTGTGTCTGGAATTAACTACAAAAATCTTAAAAAGATTATAAAATCACCTTTTTATTTAAGCACGAATTTGGAATATAAAATGTCTTTCTTGTGGTAACAAGATCTACACACACTTGTGGTGATGTAACTAAAATAACAGTTAAATTAAAACTTAGGCTTAGTGTCAAAGACTACAAAATTAAATTTTAATGGAAGTTGGCTCAAAACTCTAACCGGAGTAACAATTTCACTGTCGGCAGCAAATAACGCAAAGCCAAATAATTACAAACTTATCAGAGCTGGCAAAACTAAGTAACGTGGCCTCAAAAGGCAAAAACGAGCTCTGCTTTTACAATTCAAAAAAAAAAAAAAAAAAAACCTCAGCTTAAATAATATTACATTTCTGGTGAATAAACGGAAAAGAGAAGTTATAGTAAAGGCTGAAATAATAAACGCTGAAACAGTGACAGTTTTACTGACATGAAATTCAACGTTTCATCATTTCATCGGTGTCAATGGTAATTTCTTAAGTATTGTAGAACCTCTTCTAGTTTTGTTGTAAGATTTTTTTGGGGGGCTTATACTTATTTTCTTCATTTAATGCTATGCAAGGTTTTTGTTATCTTTCGACATTTTGAGTTAGATATGAGCTCAGAGACTTTAGTTAGTGCAGTAACTGTGAACAAAGCCCATGCTCGCTTAGAAGGATGGATCAGTGTTTGGCATATTTAGTGCATTTATTTAATAACCACTAATAACCAGGAATGAGTAAAACTCATTTTTAAATATTCTCGGATTTAATTACAATAGATTCCCAATCAACCATGATAACTCCAGGAACAATATCTACACTGACAACAGTTAAAACGATGCAGGAAAGAGGAATAATTTGAAAAATAGTTTGATTTTCTTATTTAAATTAAATCGGTTTTTAAAACAGGGGCAGATTTCAAAACCAAAAAAACAATATTTTTGTACGGCTCAAGTATTTCGGTAGAAGGTTACAGGTTGAAACTCAACAATTATAAGTTGAAGCTAGACCACCACCTTTCTAGCTCCATAGGATTGAGGTATTTCTGAACATAGCTAAGACTAACTATATTCTTAACTATGTTAAATATGTTAACTTAAACTTCCAGCCCGGACGAAATTCTGAACGGTCCGAGAATCTCCCACCCCTCTTCGCCTACCACCAGCTTCTTGATAGGATTTCGGCTGGCTATGCATTTTTAGTGCCCTTTTTTGCACCCAGGACCTTCATTGTGGCAGTCAGCTGTCTGTGGAGGCATTGGTAAACCAGACCATTACTTGACTCAATGCCTTCTAACCGCACCAGTGGCATGTGCAGCTTCCAGAACAGGCAATTTCTCATAAACATTATCTGATTAAACAGCCATCATTTCGCATCAAAATATGCAAGATAATGCAGAAACTGGAAGAATTGGGAACAGATTTGTGCAGTGTGGAATAGTTCCCTGTCAATCTCTCTTCTCTCTTCTATCTTTTTTTAATTTTTTTTATTTATTTTTTTATTTTTTTACTTTTTTTATCTTTTTTTTTTATTATTATTGTATATATTATGAAACATGTGTGTATTACGGCCACTATGTATGTATTATGTAACAGGCTCAATATATTATGAACTGTGTAAGCAAGAATGAACTATGTAAGCAACTATGAACTATGTAAGCATGTATATGTATGAACTATGTAAGCAAGTATTATGAAAGATCTATGTATTATGAACTACTTGTATATAAGCATGTACTATGAACTATGTAAGCATACATTATGAACTATGTAACTATAAGCATATGTTATGAACTATGCACGCATGTATACAGGACCAATGTATGCCCTTATTGGCCCCATGAGGTGTTGCCCCGGATAGTTGCGGAACCTGGACTAGACCCGAATAGTCTTAGTAAGCCGCACGGGTGTCCAGATTCTGCTCTCAACTCAAATCAACTCAACTCCATTAGCCACTATACTGTTTGGATGGCGTAAGCTTTCAACAGACAGCTTTTAAAAATTAGACTCCTAGGTAGATAAAATCTGCACTGATTTATGAAATTTACTGATTTGATTATTCAATACCCTTCGCATTATCGGCATTTTTTACAAATTACCACATTCCGCCATGGGTACTCTTGTGGTATAAATGGTTAATATGTCAAGGTAATAAGTGTAAAATACATGTTTTCCAAACCTTGCGACGGCGTAATTGATTTCTTCATTGAAGAAACTAATAATCTGTAGAGCAGCGCTCGAACTAAAATGCAGGATGTTATTTATTAGCGTTTTTCTCTTCAAAAAATTTAATATCGTCTACAAATTATCTTTATACCTTTTTTCAAGGTGATATATATGAACAATTAGAGTATTTCTTTAATGAATTTACAAACCAATAAACACAAGTTAACTAATGTTACAAGTATAATCGTGATGTTCAGTATGATATTTTTTTATTTCGAAGTCCTCATGATATTGCCACTCATCCAGGATTAAAGCATTTCAATTTTTATTGATCTTAAGTAACCCTTCATTTAAAATTATCATTACGAAAATTTAATGATAAAGACATTTTACTTTCTTGTAGGAAGTAAAGGAATTGCGAAATATTTTACGTATCATATTTTAACGGAAACGTCCATTTTGACCATTCACTAATTCATTTGGACAACGTTTTACTTGATCTCCGTACATACGCACAGCATAAAGCACT